GGAACACGTATTCTTTTGTAATGTACTCTAATACTTCATTTGGTGAGAATGATGTAAACTAGGAGGAATAGAAAGTAGGAGCAATGCACATATATTTTCTATCTTCCAAGAAAAAAAAGTAGAAATGATACATTTTTCTTCATTTATGTTTGTTGGGATAAATGAAAAATAAATATGAATAATTTTTTTAAAAAATACATAAATACATATTTTACAATTATATTTATATATGAAATTAATGTATACATAAAATATGTATATATTAAATAATTTATAGACAAATAAAATACATTTGAACACAAATAATTAACTTTTCATCTATTTTTCTTCTAATTTTAGAAGGATTGATTTTTGTGAGTTGGAAAGAAAGTTTATTCATTCACTTTTCCATCACTCCTATTTTTCTTCTTTACTAAACATAATGTTTTATCTATCTCTCCAACTTTTTATCCTTCCAATTTTTCATTTTTCCATCTTACCAAACGAAAATATCCCAATCTTTCTCTTCTCAAAGAGATGTGATCAAATCCCACATAATACCATCCTTAAGGAGCAAGAGTCTCCCATTATAGTAGATGTAACCTTAGTCCTTAGATTGAGGCGGACCACTCATACTTTCGTCTTTGTCTCCACTTCAACTTCTAACTTTCTCTCTCTCTTAAGCACACACTAAGTCACTCTGGGCCTCATCCCTTTATTATTCTATAATTGGGTAAAGAAGATTTTGAGTACGATCAATAAATCAATCAATCAAAATATTTATCATAGTCAAAATATAAGTACAATTAAAATATAAATATAATTAAAATAATTACATGAATTAAAATGTCTATTGTAGTAAACACAAAGTATATGATTAACTGTTAAATCATAATTATAAATAATATGAATTGTTGTTGGATCTCAATTCTAAGTGATTTAGGTCATTATTATTGTGCTTTTATCTCTTGGAGAAGACTATGGTACCAAAAAAAATTAAGGTAACATATCTTCAAATTTTATATGTTTTGATATAAATTTATGAATTTATTTACAACAAAAAAAATGTACAACTTTTTGGATCGTGTGAAAAATTTTTACTTCCCTTTTGTTAATCACTTTTTATTTTTGTATTTCGTGTGTTGGTGTGGAAGGATTGGATTAAGGATATAGGTAGGTGGTTAAAGAATAATAGATTAAGGATCACACAAGAGTTGAAAAATAATTAGGGATGACTTTGACATTATTAAATTCAAATCCTAATTACCAATATCCCAATGGAGGGTATTATTGTAAAATGTTCAGAGAACAAAGGTATTTTTATAATTTTTCGACTTAGATTAACTTTTCATTAGTTTATAATGGAACCAATTGAAATTAGTTGGTCCAATTAATTGTGAGATAATTGGATGATTAATGACCAATTGGAGCTGTAATAAAAGGGAGAGTCTAATTGATAGTGGCCCACAATACTTGTCGTTTAACACAAGTGTGATAAAAAAAAAATTTATCGAATTAGGATTAATCATTTCTCAACATGAACTTATAACTTATATGATTCGATGCAATAAAATGTAAATATGATAAAATTAAATCTTGATCAAATCGAGATTGAATGTTAATTTGTTGAAATAAAATCGTAATTTTATAAAATTTAAGATCAATTTCACTTAATTTGATATTAATTTGATGGAATTTAATGTTGATTTAATAAAATTGAATGTTAAATTAATAAAATTGGTAGTTAATTTAATTGTATTGAATACTAATTTAGTAGTAATTTGATCAAGTTTAATATGTTTTGATAAAATTGATTTTTAATTTGGTGTTAGTTTTATAAAAGTAAATATTAATTTAGTATTAGTTTAATTAAATTGAATATTAATTTCATGAATTAAATGCTAATTTTATGAATATGAATAGTAATTTAATAAAATTAAATATTAAAATGATGGTGTAGTGATGTGTACAAACAAGGTAAGAAGGGAGGGGGTCATGCTGCAAACAGTGGTGTGGTGGTGCAATAATGTGTGTAAATGAAGGCAACATGCTGCGAACAATGGGAGGGGTAACATTCTTCCAAGGCATGTTGATTGGTATAAGAAAAAATTAATTATCATTTAAATTTAAATGGTAACAAATGAAGAATTTACTATTCTAATTCATACAAAAGAAAAATATTTGAATTTTTTTAAGGTATAAAAATATCATTCGTCCAAGTTTAATGTTCAAATAATAATACATTAAACAAAAATTAAAACACGATCAAAATGAAATCAGTTGGTTTCATAGGATTGGTGGATCAAATTGAAAAAATTGGACAATAAGCAAAAGTTGGAAGAAACTCGAACCAGGTGCCTGGTTGTGGGAGAGATTTATGTCACCACTTGAAGGATTGTTGGGCCTTCGAGGAGTTGAAAGAATCGTTAGATAGTTTATAATTAGAATTCTCAAACCTAGGTTAACATGATAATTGATTGTGAAAAATTGACCAAGCATTTTTGAAAAACTTTTAAGACATTTTAATAAATTTTTTTTTAAAAATATACTTTTGTATTAAAAATTATTATTTTAAATAATAATTTTCACTTGAACACTATTAAAACTAAGTTATTAAACACAATAAATTCGAAAGAAAATTGAAAACAAATGGTAATAATCACATAGTAATTGATTATCAATGCATCGACATTATCAATAAATAATATTTTTTAATTATTGTACTGGTTTATATTATGAATTAAATAAATTAAGTTATGACACAAATTTAGAATTAAAAACTATATTTAATAATCTCAACCATTGAGTAGGTAGTGGGTCCCAATAAATGTTGAGACTCACAGTAAAATCAATAGTTATAATTATCAAGTCTAATTTTTAAGTCTATTTTTTAAGTTCATATAACATTACTCTTTAAGAAATGAGTGGGACCCGTAGTTATTAGAGGATCAACGGTCCAGATACGATTTAACGATCCTAATACATTGTTTTTCAAAATAATCAACTCTAACGGTCACTTTTCGTTATTCAAGCAAAAACCTTTGGATCATATCATATAGCCCCTACCAAAACATGACCGTTTGTTCCCTTTTTATTTGTGAATTTTAATAAGATATCTCTTTGGACATTGTAATCAAGCTCATGGAAAACTATCTCCACTTTCATAAAGAAACATATTGGCTAGTGAGGGGTATTATGGTATTTTGATTCAACATAAGATTACATACTACTTGTCCTATGAAAAAATATCTTCTCCTTCACATAAGGAATAAGGTTGACTAGACCTATTATAAATTAGTTCCACTCCGCCTAATTTGTCAGCCAACATTTCAGTTGCATTTCAATCTGCACCCCTTCACAAAAGCCTTCACAAATTTGCTGGTGTGACGTAAGCTTCCAATTAAAGCAATTATTTCACAAGAAAAAAAAGCTGCAAATCAATAAGTTGTTAAATTATATAATCCTTTGTTTGATTATTTGAAAAATAAGCTGTATTTCGATTCTTTCAAAATACTCTTCTAACTATGGTCATTACTTTTACACTAACCAAATAACAAACATTCGTGATAGATTGGATGAAAAATTTTGCCACTTAATCTCCAGTAGTATGAGTTTTTTCACTTTGTTCTAGGATGACAGTGGACCAGAAAAAAAAAACGAGTATTCGTCCAAACTCATTTTGTTTGGACCGGAATAAACTGTACGTATTGAATGGTTGACGTATATGAAAATACTCGTATAAACCCGTGCGATAATGAAAAAATATTTACTATGGACGGGAACGATGATCAAAATTTACTTGCGGGGCAAGAACGGGGATTAAAATTTCTCCCACTAACAGGGATGGACGAATATTTTTTAAACTGGTACGGGATGAAGACTACTCCCCTGGCCCCCACTCCCGTCTAATAACATCCCTACTTTGCTCCCAAAATCCAAAAAAGATGAAGGGTGGATTGGCTAGAAAGCCGGCTCGTGGTGACCCAAAGCCCACCCACCACAAACAGTCCACGAGCTAGCCCGCCAGTTGAAGGCCAAGTATATGATATTTACGTTCATAAATTTGTATTTTTTCTCATTAATATTTTTACATTATTTTTTTTTCCTAAACAAAACTAGCCCACCCGTTTTGTGCCACAGTCTATCCCATTTGCCCATTGGAGGGTCCGGATTAAGTGTCAGGCTCTAGTAGGGCCTGACAATTCCATGGGATGGGCTTAGCCAAGATCAAGCCTGCCTGTATCAGAAAATTTTTTGAGTAGGAGTCCTTGACGGTCCTAACTAAATGGTTACTTGTTTACATCTTTCTATTATTAGTCCTTGGAAAAAATTATGTTTGGACACTTTTAACCATATTTTGTCCCTGAGTTTCTCACATTATCTCCTCAACTAACTGATTAGTTTTACATTGCCCCAAACCAAGCAGCCGTCTTGTTTGAACAAAAAATAGCAAAATGTATAACAAAATACATGATTTCAATGTCTACAACTTGGATAAAATGAAACTCATAACCGTTACAATATATGCAATATGAAAAACGTGACAATGGATGGAAAAAGGTAAAATTAATAATCATAGTGACAGATGTAATGTACAATGGTGGGCATTTTTTATTTGGGATTAGGGCTTTTGTTAGAGAGAAAATTACTTCAGGTTGCAGTCCCATGTATAAAACAAAGTAATTGTCTTGTCATAAGCTCATTTTATAGAAATTAAACCTTGCATCGTGTGAAATGTTTTGCAAGTTTTTTTTCATTAGTTTTGCACTTTAAATTTAATTGTGAAATATCTTTTGAGGGACTCTTATATACTGCTTTGCCAACATTTATCTATTTGAAAGGGAAACCAAATGTCTGAGCTGTCTACTTACATCAAAAAAAGGCTTGATTCCTTATCACCGAAATCAGATTGGCCTTTTATCTTCAAAATAAATGAACAATTTTACAAAGAAAATGAGAAAGCCTATGAACCAGAAATACTTAGTGTTGGTCCTTATCACTAACGAAAAGTTAACCTCCAAATGATGGAAGAGCAAAAACTACAATACCTGAATGAGCTGCTTAAACGAAGAAATGAGAGTGTAGATAAATACGTCGAAGCCATGAAAAGCTGGGAGGAGCTGACACGGGATAGTTATGCAGATCCCATTAAATTGAATATGGATAAGTTTCTGGAAATAATGCTACTGGATGGGTGTTTTATCATTGAGTTATTTCTCAAGTTTGAGGATTCAACCTTGAGAGAACACACGACCCCATTTTCCAAATTCCTAAGATTCGGAAAAGTATACGACATGACTTGCTGTTATTTGAGAACCAAATTCCATTTTCTGTCCTCATCCATTTATTTCATATGACCGGAGATTCAAACCAAGGGAATCCACTACACATCTTAGGTCCCTTGGCCCTCAAATTTTTTCGTCCAACCATTTCAAATTTTGCGCGTTCACCACCTTCCTACAATCATCTTCTAGGCCTAGTACATTATGCCTGGTATTCTTCTATTGCTGGAAATGGGCCCTTTCTTGTGATTGATACAAACCACCAATTCATAAAAAGTGTTACAGAGCTCCGAGAAGCCAGGATTAAATTCCAGAAGACTGAATCTTCCTCATTTCTCGATGTTAAGTTTGAAAATGGTATCATGAAAATCCCTTCCCTTGTAGTTGATGATGATACAGAGTGTCTATTCAGAAATCTGATTGCTTACGAGCAATATGGTGGAGGATTTGTGCAAACTAATATGACCGACTATACGACTTTTATGGATCGCCTCATCAATTCCCCTAAGAATGTCGAAATACTTCGCCACTCTGGAAGATGATAAAATTGTTTCTACCATGTTTAACAAAATGGGCAATCACGTCGAGGTCAATGAAGATCCTGCAACGTTCTATTATAGGGAATTGTTCGAGGAAGTTAACGAGTATTGCAAGAATCGTAGTCATGGATGGATGACCTTTTTAAGGTATAATTATTGCAACAACCCGTGGTCTATTATTTCAGTTATTGTGGTTAGTGCGTTTCTGTTACTCACTGTGATACAAACTGTATGTTCTGTCTTACATGTCTAGTTTTAAGTCATGTTTCGAAGTTCTTAGTTTGAAATTCTTATCAATTTGAATGTTTTTTAAGCCACTGCAGTGAAGTTTGGTTTCTATGGAGTTGTAAACTATTAACTTATATATGATTCTGTTGAGTATGTTACTTAAAAGCTAGCCAAAGAGAAGTTCGGCTAATTTTGTTAATGACTTGCAAGTGGTTAGCTGTGCAGCTTGTGCTATGAGGAAAATCACATTTTTTTTAACTACATTACGAGGGACGGTCTTGAAACTGTAACATCTTGACCCAATTCCATCCATAAACAATATGCAATTTTCTTAGAAAAAAAATTAAATCCATATCAACTGATTCGATGCTTGTGCATTCTTTTAAATTTTGAAATCACTAAAATCCTCAAAAAAATAAACAAACAAATAAATAAATAATCTCCCGATAACAAATAAAATTACAGTCGATCAAAAATCATAGATTCTCTGATTGACTAGATCAGCCTTCCTTGGATCTATATCAGTCTGTTTAGGTTTGGTAGGCCCTCCTAGCGTTGGCTGATAGTGTGCAAATATTATTGTCTAACCAAGATGGATCTTGATGCTCTTAATTTTTTGCCAATTTTGATCAATTTCAGTCATGCTCTTTCAACTTCATTGGGCCTAAATATAGTCCCTAGTCTTCCAACTGGTACCTAATACCTGATAGGATCTAATTAATTAACATGACTGGAAAAAAATTATAAGAGAATGATGCTTTGAACATGGCCATCAGGAAAGTTGGGTAACTTGATAGTATGTCAAGGGAAAACTCCCCTAATTCGTTCCTACATGGAGATGGTAGAGGGTTAGCCCCTGTTGACGGTATGTCAACTGTCCATGACCTCGTCATTACTATGTCTTAAGCTACGTGTTTACAATTCCCTTGGGGAACGTAAGCCGAGCCGTTATTTATCATTAATGCTCGGCATTGAGCATTAACAAAACGCTCTTCACCGAGTGAATTTAATTGGCTGATCTTCTCTTGTGCCTTTTCGAGGCATGATTGGGCCTGATCATTGAATGGGCAACTTGATCGAGGTACCGATTTGGTCTTATTATCCAAGTTTAACGTTTTTATGCATGTTTTCCGGCATGTTTATTGTGTTACAAAGACGTGCAATCGTTATTCTCTGAAATATCTATTTTTTCGTGTCTTTTTAGTCATGTCAAATTGTGTCACTGGGCCCAGTTATCGTATGCCATCAATGCTTGACCCAGCCCGAACATTTATATCGTCAGAAGATTTGACTTGTTTATCGTGGCCGAGACTTCATTTCTTCTTTCCTCCACGTGTATGCTTCTTACTGGTCTCTCTAACTACATCCCATAATAGAGAATCCAAATCCAACCATTATCAAAACAACTATATAAAAGTACAGGTGGTGAAAAATAATATGAAAGCTTACACAGTGATAATTTCTCATGTTTCAGACTGCATTTTGTTTTTTTTTTTTTTGGACTTATGATTCGTTTGGACTTCATCATAATCATGATGTGTTATACTTAATTATTACAGAGTTATTTTTCACAGTATGCACACCAAGTTGTGGTTTGGGTTGAGTTGATTGAGATATTTTATCACTTGTCTAAAATTTTTCTGCAATCCCAATCACGTGTGTTTCTTCCGTTATAAAATTTGAGCATTTCCAATGCTTATCTTTTTTTTAAACCCAAACTTAAATATAGGTAAAAAACTCTTAAAAACCTTCAACAATGCTAGACTTGTACCCATATCAAATGAAGGAAGACTTATTTTTTTAGTCAAATCAAAAGAGATTCAAATCCATACCTGAATTTGTAATTGTGAGATTTCACCATTCTTTAAAGATTTAATGATCATTTAAATTTGAATTTGTCCTCATTTAAATTTGGATTTCATCATTAGAGAGGTCTATACCAAATTAAGCTTTTTTATCTTTTTTTTTCCTCAAATTTATGTAAAAGTTTGAATTTCCATTGAAATTACTCAAATTTAAAGATCTAATGGTCATTTAAATTTGAGTTTTATCATTGGAGAGGTCTATACCAAATTAAGCTTTTTTATCTTTGTTTTTTACTCAATTTATGTAAAAGTTTGAATTTCCATTGAAGATGGTCTTTGAGCGTTTACATGGACTCTACTTATGTTGACCGCCTCAATTTTTCCATGTCTTGCATTATCTCCTCAACTATCACATTTCTTACATTGGCCTTCTAATAATGGTTTTTGGTATCACATTGCTTCCTCAATGATCGCATTCTGACGTTGTACCCCATCTATGATTGTTGGTTCCCGATTATCCCAATTTGCAGGCATTGGAAACTTGTATTTTAAAATATATATATAGCGAGAATTTGTGTTGAAAGCATTGTACAATTCAAAAAATTAAACATTGATCGTGGACACAAAAATCAAATATTGAACATGGACATGTATTAAGCTTAAAACCTAAACCGCATCTTTAACGCCTACACTCTATATACATGCTCAATAAAGTATTGCCTATATGGACATTTCCGTGATGACAAATTTCAATGAAAAAAAGTAAAAGTAAACACAACTTTACTAAACAAAAATCGATAAAGTTAAACTAAAAACTCAAAAAATTCATATACTCGAAATTATATACCTAATTTACGACAAAAAAAAAAAGAAATATATATCAAATTAAAACTATCAATAACGTCTAAAAGATTTAATCAAAAATCAACTTAGAAAGTTCCACAAACCTATGTCATTAGAAGAAATGGTTGTGCTTGAAGGCACTATGTTATGCTAAACAAAAAATTTGCGAAAATTTAATGTGAGGAAATTTAGTGTTGGGTGGGGGCTATTCCCACCCTAAAAATATCCATTCCCACCCCATTAAAGTTTTAACTATAAAATTATTAAACACACCCCTTCTATACATACTCCACTGTAAACTAACCCCACCCCATTAATAATTAAATCCATTCTAAACTAAATTTTAAGAAAAATGTTATTTGGACTTACTTTGAAGACTTAATTTAGGGATCTAATGATGTACATTTATTGAACTGGTTGTGAGCTCCGTCTAACATTGGATACACCATACCCATCCATTAATCCAAAAAATGCTTAAGCATCCATTGAGAAATATGAACCCATGTGAAAATTTTAACTTACATATAAAGATGCAAAAGACTTCTTATATATTACTTACGTTATGATGCAATAAGGATCCAAATAACTATATCACAATAAAATATTTTAAAAATCTTGTTTGCTACCAAAAAATAGATAACCTTTCACTTAATCATTCCGTGTATGCTATTGATACCCTCTCAATTTCTTTCCAACAACAGCTAAAAGCCAAGTTCTTTCATATGTGTGTGAAAAAAAAATATTTTCATAGAAAGACAGATCCGAAAAAAACATATATTAAACTTGACACAAATACTCAGCTGTATATCACCCGATAAATTCATGTTAGATTACCAAGTTGAGTATATGACGATCAAGTGTGTGAATTAGAGCATAGAAAGAAACCCTAAAAGTGATAAATTCATGTTAGATTACCAAGTTGAGTATATGACGTTCAAATGTGTGAATTAGAGCATAGAAAGAAACCCTAAAAGTGAGAAAATATTGAGGTAGAAATAGCTTATGAGTAAGATGTATTTTACTTGTAATATGTTTAATTATTAATGGGATGGGGCTAGTCTATAATGGAGTGTAAATAGAAGGGGTGAACTAAATAGTTTTATAGTTGAGGTTTTAATGGAGTGGGAATAGATATTTTTGGGGTAAGAATAGTCTCACCCTTTAGTGTTAAACAAACATAGCACCCGGAATTTTTAAAGGTAATTTAATTGCTAAACGAGCATAGCATACAGAATCTGCAAACCTTTACCTAATGGGCAAAGTCAAATATTCACCAGAGTTTCTCCGCTCCCCACATAAGATTCCAATATAATACTCATTCCGTTCTTAAATATCTGTCGTTTAAGATTTTTACACAGAGATTAAGGAAGATATTAAATAGTTATAATATGAGTAAAAAATAATTACACAAGACTAAAATACTCTTATTTAATACGTATTGGAAAAAATAGAATATGAAAGACACTTAGCCTCCACCTAATTTAATGCATTGAAAAGTTAAGGGTAAATTTAGAAGAAAAAATATTAATTATACTTTGGTTTCATTAAACGACAAATATTATGGAACAAAAAAAATTATGTAAAACGACAGATATTTAGGAACGGAGTGAATAATTATACCCATGAAAAATGTCAGTTTTTTGGGTAATTGAAAATCGTTTCAATCATGTTTTCTTTAAACTTATGGCTATAATGAAAATCTTGGGTGTATATCATGATTCGTAAAAAACTACCCAATTGACACTAACGAAAAAAATAACAGAATCTAACTAAAATGTCACATTATAATACTTTTGATGTATTAAGGGTAAAATATGAATCTCTGAGGGTAGGAATCTGAATTCTTACACCTTGTGTGGTCAAATGGTTCATTTCCAAAGAGCTAGTAGTTTCCATCACTATATTTAACAAGAGTAATACTATTAACACCTAAAAATAAAGTGTAATTTTTGTATCTAATTATGTGTTAAGTGATACTATGATCGAGTTCTAATTAAGAAATCTAACAATAATAATTACAATAATGTTATTGCATCACGTTACAAAAACGCCACTAAATTAGCAAATTAGGTTAATGTTTTAGTTATAAATAGTACTGGTCATCCAACAAACTATATGCAAGTCAAAAGCTCGACATTTGTATTTGTTAGCGATGTTAATCGAATTGTATTGTATCGTGTTATAATCGGATCTTATTATATCATATTTTTGTTGAGTGTTAATTAATGATAATTTGCCTAATTTAATTGATTTTGTTCCTGATTCAAATGTTAGCAAAACCGAGCTAAAAATAAATTCTCTATTCTATAAGAATTCAATTAATATCAGATCAATAATTTTTTTTAAAAAAAGAAACATATCAAAAATTTTCTTCCTACAACTTACCACCATTTAAACGAGATGGTCGTGTCAAAATTAGGTCTTTCATGTTTGATAGTAACTTAACCTGTTTATTATTTACATTTTATTTTCTATTTAATTTGAAAACGAATCAACCTTATCCAATTAATTTCGTATTAGATTACTACATCACCTCGAAAATTGGTGACCTCTAATATTTTATTGATGACAATATCATGGAAAAGATGTTGAAAAGAATAATTTCTTCAAGTTGCAATCTGTAGTTGTTAGTGTATCTATGTCCAACATATCGTTTGAATCTTATGACTTGTCTTGCTGTTTATATTTTGATCACACTTACATTTTAATCACAATAATCTAACATTCACATTTCAACTGTAGTAAACATTTTAAATGTACTTGCGTCTCAATACATTTGGATATTTTAACCATCTATATACATTTTAAAATTTTCTACATTGTCCTTCCAGCTATTTGAATTATTTCACATTGCTCCAAACACATATGTCTGCTATCTTTTTGGGCGAAAATTACCAACGTATTTGAGCAAAGGAAAAAAATCACATAGTTGGAGAAGAAAACGTGAAAAAAGAGTCATAATTAAAAGAGACAAATGTCCGTATTTGGACTTCTAGTTCTGGCCAAGTCATGTCCCAGAAACAATGAAGCATACGATCCAGAAATAGTATCAATTGGTCCTTATCAGCGCGACAAAGTTAAGCTTCAAATGATGGAAGATCGTGTACATGCCACCTGGTGTTCTTCATTTGCTGCAATGGTGTCTTCGCCTCCGATTGATGCAAACCAAGGAAGGAAATGGAGTTTCTTGAAATGTACCACAAAGCTTCGAGAATCGGGGATTAAATTCGTGAAGGCTACAGAAAATTTTTCATTGTTGGATATAAAATTTGCAAATGGAATCATGAAAATTCCTCCACTGAGAATTGATAATAATACTGGGTGTCTTTTAAAAAATATGGCTGCATAGGAGCAATATTGAGAAAGAACCGAACCAACTTATGTGACCGACTACGTGATTTTTATAGATCGCCTCATCAACTCCCCAAAGGAAGTCAAAATATTTTGTAATTATGAAGTTATTGATAGCTGGCTGGGGGATGATAAAGCGGTTTCTACCATGTTTAACAAATTGGGGCAATTGTGTCATCCAAGATCCTAAAAGCTTCTATTATTTGAAAGTTTTCAATGACGTTAACAAGCATTGTGGGCGTTCTTGGCAAACATGGATGGCGTTCTTGGTATTTTGAAGCTTTCAATTTGTTACCATCATCCTTGTTTTCTTTCCTTGGTTTTGGTTCTATCTGGTTGATTGGTTCTTCCGGTACCATTAAGACATACATAGATTCGTATGTGCATGTGGCTCTAGTAAGGATTTGGTTCTTGTTTTGCTCGTCACTCTGCTCTGGTGCTTTCGTGTGGGGATTTTTTTAATTGTGTGGTCTTTAATGGTTTTAGATTCTTTTTTCCATCCTTTGTTAGGCATATAAAGATTTTTGGTTCTTGTTTATTATTCATCGATTGGCTATACCCAGTGGTGGAGCCATAATATTAGAAAATTGTGGCCATACTAAAATTAATACATTGCCCCCTTTAATTTTTAACGAATTGGCATGCAAGGCTCTGTTGAGTTGTACTGAGTAAATATGAGATGCTCTAGTTAATATATTAACCAATGACAATATTTCTGTTCTATTCAATAAATTGCCCCTGCTTTGTAAAGGCAATTAGCTTTGCCTCTTTTGTTTTGGATTTTTTGAGTGTGGGTACTATTTTTTAGACTTATTTGAGCAAAAGTGTATAGATAAGTTTTTTATTCTATTAAGTACAATTTTTATAAAACTTTTTGTGTTTAGGTACAAAATTCAAATGAATTAAAATTTTTTTTACTTAAACAACCTTCCTTAATTTATGCTCTCATTATTGACAGCTATTTGAGGAAACATGTAATCTTGACATATTTGTTATCATTCATTTTTTGAATTTTAAATGAGCAGTTTTTATGGTATATCTGCAGTAAAATTGTGTCTACAACGGATGAGAATTTTTTTCGATATATCTTTGCTGTAAAAATCATTTTCAACAGTCGGTTTCATTGCGATTTTGTTCAACGTACGGCTTGAGGATTTACTTCTCCAGTTGAGGTATATTATTAGTTTATTTTTGTTTGCTTCCAAAGTCTATTTTTCTTAATGAATAGAGGATTTCTTCGAAAATATTAATTTCAAATACCAAACACCATGATTGGCTTGAAGGTAAGTTATTAATAATTATATTTCTTCTTTTATTTGGTCATTTTTTTGGGAAATTCCTATGTTCGATTTTGTTTTATGTTTGTTTGTTGTTGGGATGAAGGAAAAAAAACTGCTTTGGTTTTTAATGGGTATAACTGTTTTTTAATTGGTGTAACTATTTTTTCGTATAGGTAACTTGTAACTAACTTTCTGCTTCGTGTAACTCTGTTGATAACAACAGAGTTGCATTTTAATGTAACTATTATTGTATGCAAGATTTCGACAAATATCTATTTTGGTAGATACTGTATATTGTAACTATTTTTTATTTTATGTATTTCTCCCAGTATGTGAGTAATTTAATTTAGTCATTTGTATTAATGCATTTTTATGTTGTTTTGTGTAACTGTTTTTCTTTTCCTTTTGAATTGATACAATGTCATTCGTTTTTTTAATGTCTTAATCAGAAATAGAGGAAATAGTGTTGCTTGCATGCAAATATGATGTTGACACCTCCGGACACTTGTTTTAGCTTGTTTCCTATCAATGTTGTTGTCAACCTCCGACCTTTTTGAACCAGCGTTCAATAAAGGGGGTAAACGATTTTCCATGTATTGTACAATTAATTTTTTCACACCCATCTTGTATCCCAAATATCAAAGTCACATCACTAGGCCTCAACCTCAATTTTTCGCTTTCAATATTGAATCTTGATGTATTGGAATTGAAACTTAATAGTATTTTAAGAATGTTGCTGTCACTTTTACGGCACCATGTTTTGTCCATAGTAATCTTGATGTATTGGAATTGAAACATAATAGTATTTTAAGAATGTTGCTGTCACTTTTACGGCATCATGTTTTGTCCATAGTTTGGTCAATGATACATTCAAAAAGCAACAAGGACGGAGTCTTTTTCAACGTTATCTTGTGATACGCATTCAACTAAAGTTCTTCAATTACCCTGATAATGGCAAGCATATTTAATCTAAACTGAGGCCAATACCTTGCACTAGTGATGTATAATTCACTTTGATTTTCTTTTATCTCAACATTTGTCTTTGTTGCCTGTGACTCCTGACGTGTAATTTCTTTGCTACACCTTATAGCAGGTCTTTTTTTTAAGATTGTTTCTTCGCTATGACCTGTTTTATGCATCAACTATGCTAGGGTATCATACAATAATATATTGTGTATCTATATTAACATAACCATTAGTCCACTCATTGGTAACTATTTAATTTGTTAGATTGGGATTGATCTAAATTTTTAGGAGCATTGTAACTCAATTGCACATAGTAACTATTTTTTAAGGACACAAGTATTGATAAGGGTGTCAGGCCCACTCGAGTTCTAACCCAATATTCTTAAAAGAAGGGCTTGGGTTTGCCCCCAAACCCATTATCCCGCCTAAAGCCTGAGCCTAAGAGTCTGCTCGTCAAGCCCAGCCCACCCAACCTTCCTTTGAAAAAAAGTTATAATTTTAAACCATTCAATTTGAAACTTTGAAATAAGTTTCCCAATATTGAAATTTGAAGTCTCAAAATTTTAGATATTATAAATAATGTATTATTTTCTTCTTCATGTATTAAACATATAAGTTTTAACTGGTAGAGTAATGCAAATGACACATAAGTTAGTAGGTGTCAACCTAAGGTACAATAGGAGAATTTAATCTTTAAAAATAGAAAATGAAAATCTTAAAAACTTTCAGGGTACCATGTACGAATAGCCTTTACAACTTTCTTACAATTGTTAAAAATCGTGTCTTGATTCTATTCGTGTCTTATACTTTGCTTGGTATAATGAAAAAAATGAAAGGATAAAAATTTGAAAGCATGGAAAGTTAGAATAATAGATAAAACATTATATTTGATAAGAAAGAAAAATAAGAATGATGAAAAAGTTGTGGATTAACTTTACTTCCAACTCATCGAAATTAATCCTTCCAAAATGGATAGGAAAGTTAATTATGTGTGTTAAAATATATGTTATTTGTTTATCTATCTTTTGATTAGGGGTGTCCGTGGGCCGGATTATCCACGGGTCCTGTTACCCAGTCCAAAAAAAAAACACGGAATCTGATAAGCCTGATAATTGGCTTGCCCGAGCCAAATATCCTTTAAGAAAGGCTTGAGTTTACCCCTAAACCTACTACCTGGCCCGAAGCCTGGCCCAATAACCCGTCCACATACCCGCCCCAATGCCCACCTCAATAACCTACCCACAAAATTTGAGAATTTAAAAGTTGAAGAAAGGTAGGTGAGAATTTGAATGTTGAAAGTTAGGTGAGTTCAAATTTTTTTCAAATATTTTCAACTGAGCACCACATCCACATGGGGTTTGCCGGTCTGGACTTCTGTGAGTCTATAACTGTCTCAGTGTCTATGTCTTGTCTTTTTCGTCTGTAACTGTTTTCCGTCTGAGCCAACTGTTAAGACAGTCATAAAAAAATTCTTTCTCCACTTTTACAACAGTCATAAATAAGTGGCTACTTTTTAATGTATAATTTATAAATAGAGCTAATTGTATTTCATTTCAACCCACTACATTTACAAAAAAAAAAACTCTCATTACTCTTAACTTTCATTTGCTCTCAATTCACAAGTCACAACTCTCAAGTGTTTTGAAGTCTTAAAATCGAGCTTTCAACTATATATCAAAAACTCAAAATTGTCAAATGTTCTCATTTGGTAAGAACGTTTTTTTTACATAATTTAAGTATTTATTTTATTTTTATAGTTTAATTTACGTAATAACTTCATCTCTTTTACAAAATATTTTTTATAACAAAATTCTTCAGTCGAATAATAATAATGAAAACATCAATGAAGGTGAAGGGGACGATCCACTTTCAACTCCTGAAATGGATTCTACTGGAAATGTACTATTTTATAAAAGATAAAAGTTCAAGGCCTGAGATTACTTTGAGAAAATCAAAATTAAGAATTCTAATGGGTCATTACATCAGAAAAGACTATATGTAATTATTGTAAAAAAGATTTTGCTAAAGGCTCTAAAAATGGAACTAGTCACTTTACTAGACACCTAAAGACATGTTTATTAAAAGGTCAAATTGATATTAGACAAACAATGTTATCACAATCTGCTAGCACCGGTATACAAAATACTTTTTTTTTAATTTAAATTTTAAATTTTTTATTTATTTTTTATTTTTAAAATATATATACATATTTTACCGTTATACTTTTATATGAAATTAATGTATACATAAGATATATAAACAAATAAGATACATCTCAACACAAATAATTAACTTTTCATCCACTTTCCTTCCGATTTTGGAGGGATTGATTTTGGTGAGTTGAAAAGAAAGTTAATTCATCCACTTTTCCATTATTCCTACTTTCCTTCCTCACCAAACATAATATTTTTTTATCCCTCCATCTTTCCATTCTTCCAACTTTCTATCCTCCCACCTTTTCATCATACCAAACGGAGCATTAGACTATTTGGTGAGGGTTTACGAGGAGGTTTGGTAAGATGGGTTTAGAAAAAATAGTTTCAAGAATCTCAAAATTTTATGTTTGGATTGAAAATTCAATCCCTGATTTTCAAACCTGGCATGTAATAGGCCCAAAAATTAAACTCCTGATCATGAGTTTGATAAAACCTAGAGAGAGGATGAATTTGAGAAGATGGGTTAATGGGATTTAATCCCATACTAGGGGAAATTTCTTGAGCCCATGAGGATAAGGTGTCAGGTGCTTCTTCAT